AAAAAAAAAAAAAAAAAAAAAAAAAAACCCATAACTTTTTGTACAATAAAGCAGCACTCTTTAATTAGCCCCTGCAACGAGTGAACTCCCATGCTTCCACCCACCGCTCTCCCACCATTCCTCCACCACCCCCACCATAGAAATAAAAATCACAAAAGGTTAAACCTTTAAATTTTGTCTAAATACCTCTGTTTAACCTTTTAACTTTACATTTAATAGGAGTGAAATATATATATTTTTTAATTGGGTTTGGGAGTGAAAGAAGCTGAATTTCTTTTACTTTTTCAAATTTGTTTTTATTTTTGTGATTTTGTGTTCATTTTCATATCGTATCGAACGATGTGCGAGTGGTTCTTTCCCTGCCTGCCCACTTTCACTCCCCCTCCCATTTAATAATTCCCATATTATTACGTCTTTCATTCCATAATAATTATTTAATCAGACGGCTTACATTTTAGATATCACAAACACTCAAATACACCTGCTCGTAGAGGATCATCGGAGGGACCACCTTGCCAACTGGCCCAATCACAACACGCAAATCGGTCACGTGTTCCTTTTAAAAATGCTGACGTGGCTAACATCGAGTTAGAGTAGTCTAAAATTTTCCCAATTTTACCTGCGATTTAGCGGTCACCTGATAGACGCACAAAGCCGCGGCTCCTAAACTCCTACCAATAAAGACTCTCTCTTCTTCCATCTGAACAAGAGAGACAGAGCGCAGCTTACAGCCATGGGTGAGGATTGGTCTTCTTCGCTCCTCTCCTCTGTTCACTCAGTTTCCCTCTCTCACGCCTTACAATGAACCAAAATCTCAACCTCTTCTTCTCAGAAGAAGATGGTACCACCGTATGCGCTTGATGCTCTTTATTGCTCTGAGGAGCACTGGGAGGAGGACGACAACGAGGAAAGGGGTTTTGACCACCAACCTTACTCTACTTTAACAACCGATTCAACTTCTCCGATTTTGGCTGAGCAGGATCTGTTTTGGGATGACCATGAACTAATTTCTCTGCTTTCAAAAGAGAGGCCTAATGAACTGTTTAAAAGCATTCAGATTGACCCTTCTCTTGCTGCCGCCCGACGACGTGCCGTCGACTGGATGCTGAAGATCAGTGCCCATTACTCCTTCTCTGCTCTCACTGCGGTTCTCGCCGTCGATTACTTCGACCGGTTTCTGTCCTGTTTTCATTTTCAAACAGACAAGCCGTGGATGTCTCAGCTTGCTGCTGTTGCCTGTATCTCTCTTGCTGCCAAAGTGGAGGAGACCCAAGTCCCTCTTTTATTGGACCTACAAGTAAGTTTCCACAAATCTTAATAACCCAACTTACAAATGGTCGGATTGGGACATATTCATCCTTCTACTTCGACAATTAATCATTAATCTCTGTTGGGGTTTTGACTTGTGTAGGTGGAAGACAGTAGATATCTGTTTGAAACCAAGACCATCAAGAAGATGGAGCTTCTTGTGCTCTCTACGCTTGAATGGCGAATGAATCCTGTCACCCCATTTTCATTTGTGGATTATATCTCAAGGAGACTGGGATTCAAGGACCATATCTGCAGGGAAATCCTTAGGCAGTGTGAACGAACTGTTCTCTCGGTTATCCTAGGTAAGAAATCATAGATAAATTCACAATATCGCCATTTTTTATAATACATTCCCACGCTCATTTCCTTTTGGTGTTGTTTTTACTTGCAGACTCAGATTTCATGTCGTTTCTTCCTTCTGTAATGGCCACCGCCACAATGCTGCACGCTTTTAAAGCTATGGAGCCCCACTTCGGCGTCGAATACGATTCCCAGCTTCTTACCATCCTCGGAATCGAGAAGGTCCATATTTAGTATTCGCATTTCGATCCTAATACCCAAATTCAACCAGTAGACGATTTGAATAAGTTATAACAAAGTTTTTAATTTATTATTTTTCTCAAAACAGGGCAATGTGGAAGAATGCTGTAAGCTGATCTCAGATGCATCTAGAAGAAACGGCAATCAATTTAAGAAACGTAAATTCGGGTCAATTCCGGGCAGCCCGAACGGCGTGATAGACGTGTCATTCAGCTCCGATAGCTCGAATGAGTCATGGTCAGTGGCCTCGTCGGATTCATCTTCGCCAGAGCCTTCAACGAAGAAGAACAGAGCAATGGATCATCTGCCACTGGAGATGGCGAACCATTCAACAGCTACAAATTGCCTCGACATGTCCTCGCCTGAACCCTCTCTTAATTAACTTCCCTTTGTTCTTTTTCCTCGTAATCCTTGTATGTTGAATAAGAATTAGAATCAATATTTGATCGAATTCTGCAAGTTAAATTGCCTAACCATCTCTGCAGTTTAGGCCCCAAAATTGTTTATCAATCTGCCAGTTATTATGAAGGAATGTGCAATCGGAAGCTTAAGGAAACGCAGAGATGGCTGGCATTTTATCCGGATGCAAAGAACATGAGAATGTATAACAATGAATAGCAGTTTCAGTACTTCAATGATCTGTTTCATTTACATGGGGTTTGATGAATCACTCAACTTGAGATCGCCAAGATCAAATTTTTAGTAATGGGGTTAGCTGAAAACGAATCAAATAATATATAATTGAATTGAAGGACGAAGAAGGAAGAAAAAAAAAAAAAAAAAAAAAGA